TTTCAACAGCCTCAGACCAATACTTTTTGAGTTATGTAAAAAAAACTACAGGGGGGGGTCAAATTGACCCCCCCCCCCAGCGTATCCTGGTTTTCAAGTACCCCAGCAGGGATAGGGTTAAACATCTTGTGATTTGTTAAATCAATTTTACATATTTGTTCTCTCACTGATTCCTCTTAATTTGGTTTCTTCTTTCTTCATCTTTTAATTTCCACTGTTGCAATTTCTTTGTTTATTTCCCCCCAGGGCAGTCACTCTTATTTCTCAGCGGATCCATTATTACTTAAAGTTTAACCTTTTCTAAATATAAAGTGTTCCATTAATTAAGGTAACTGACGAGAATGGAACGTATATCCTGGAACCTGTTTCAAGTGAAGAATTTTACGAAGATCCAAACATTATGTGGATAGAGGTAAAAATTTACGATCTTTTACCATTGCAAATATGTTAATTTTAATTTTTTTTGAAAGATTAATATTAATCATCGAGAAATAATACTGAGGCATCAATTTAATTATTTTTATTATATTAGGAAACAGTTGAAGTTGAACAGGAGTCGTATGATAATTTACCAAATATGGTGATAATCTTGAACCCAAACGGAACTGTGAACGAGGAGTTGATGCTTGCCAACGGGATGAATATGGAGACAATCAAGGCTGTGACGGATGCAGCGACAGGTCCGGAGTTTGATGCTAAATCTTTTTTCAACTGGAATGTTTTTCGATGCTAAGCTATTGCTATTACTTAACCTTTAAGACACAAAATTTATAAATTCTTAGGAAAAAACTTGTTGTTTTGTTAGAATTTATGGCAAATGTTCCGATTTTAATTTTAAATGAGTTAAATCAACGAAATAAAAATGTACTTTTAAGGTGGAATAAACCTTCATACCCTGATACCTCCAACATCAACGTCATCTAATGCTCCAATATCAATCTCATCACTCAAACCTATTCCTAAAAACCTTCTATCAGGTACAGTCTATATCTACAGCTTATAGTGTCCAACAGGCTGACACATGAAGAAGGATACGTCATAAAATCAATAGATGCATAGGTTCTCTGGGTGATACAACCTTTAGTATCATGATTTGATTTGATTTGATTTGATTTGATTTGATTTGATTTGATTTGATTTGATTTGATTTGATTTGATTTGATTTGATTTGATTTGATTTGATTTGGTTTGGTTTGGTTTGATTTGTATTTGATTTGTATTTGTAATTGTATTTAAATGCAAAAATATTTTTGTTCTAACTTAATGAAATTAGGAGCAAGTAGCTTCAGGAAAAAATTGTACAGGCTGCATTTAATAATAAAAATTTTGAATGAATCTAAAAATGCAATCCTCAGATCAACCTAAAGTTTTCACAAAATTGACATAATGGGAAACAATGCACTTAAAAAAATTAACCACCTTTGTGTGTCACCCTAATGTGCAATCATCTAAATGGATCTGAAATCAAACATGCAAAATATTTATAACATACAATAAGATTAATACATAACATAGTTTTTATAGTATTTTAAAATTGATGCAATCATTCCGTTTTTAAAAACTGTTTTTTTTTTCTATGCAACTATTTGGATTGAATCCTGCTATAAAGCTTATTTATGCTGATACGCTATATTGGGATTACCTTACTATGATAGTGCAGTAAAAATATTATACAAGTAGTCAGGAATAATAAAATCATATGTGTTATGTATAAAATAAAAACTCGAGTTAAAACAAAATAAGTAAAAAGATGCTAAACCTTTATTTGTTTAGGTCGGGAGATGAATGTCACGGTTGACAGTGCTGGGAATATCCTCAGTACATCCTCTGTTGAGGACCAGGGGGACCTCGATATCACGGAGGATGTTACTCAGATGGAGGTAGCTCTTTCATTGATTTATCAGACTTTTTCAGATTTCGACGTACAAATTTTAGCCCTGTTGTTTACCCGCCCCCCCCCCATTATTTTGATAATGTTGAAGCAAACAATTCTTAAACTTGGTAATGGGTTTTTACCTCTTTAGAACTTATCTAAAATTTAAACTTTGTATTTCTCTTATAATATTTTTTTTTCGTAAAACTTTTGAGTATGGAAAAAGGGTTGTCTCAAAATTTATTTAAATCACCAATTAAATTTTTTTGACATCTAAATTTGGTCAACTTTTTTACATTACTTTATTAGCAAGAACTTTATAACCTAAAGATTATGGATAAAAAACCAGATATTTTTTACAAAATATAATTTTGTAATGTTATATATGGTTCAGGATCCAATGTTACTGGTTGACGGTGGTATGAAGCACATGACCCGAATCATCAACATCAACGGAACCCAGCACATTATCTCCTCTAACAAACCGATACCGGAACTCAGAAAAATAAATAATGCCCAGGTTGGGAATCTATATGTAAGTTAAGGAAGGATATGTGTATACATTACAACGAGCTATCAAAAACTCCGGTATTTCATCTTTTCTGACAATGTTAGAAATTCACTATTTTTTTGCTCCTTCCCTTTCCCTTTTATATCCTTTTTTATCCAAAAATTGTCAGAAGGGTAACTAAGGAAAAATTATACACGTGCAAACATACAGAGCGTCCCATATCATATTAGATTATCTCCAATCTTTAACGCCAAAATACGCACATAATACTAAAAAATCTAGCATTTTCTTTAAAAAAAATGTTCTATTAGCCTTATTAAATTTTTTAAAATGATTCATTCTTCTTAAATTTTCTGATTTATCCCCCAAATCGTAATTTAGGCCCATTGACGCGGTCTAATTTGATGTGGGACACCCTGTAGTTGATTGTACTGGAACTATATACATACAGATCTAATCACTGACAGAAATTAAAGTTTTAACTTTGCCAAAGTATTGGATCATTCAATGCAACTCGTCGCTTTTTTTAAACCAAGATTCGACAAATTACGGCTACTTTCATCCTCGCTTGATGGTTTAGAAAGTCATCGACATGATACGGCCGGGCATAAAAATCCGAATTTCAAATAGTTTAAATCATTGTTTACGAGATTCATAAACTTCAGCCTGTACTTCTGAGTTTAATGACGAGAATTGCGCGAAGGTTTGATCGAAATTGAACTTCTTTTTCCCAGACTAAAGTAACGTGGCAAGGACCAGGATAAAGTTTAAATTCTCAGCATCACAGTTCCTTTTAGAATATTGAATTCCTTTCTTAATTGTTGTTTATTGTAGAACATGTTCTCGAGTATGCTGCCTGTAACCCCGCTAGGAACTCTTGATCTCTCCCTGCCTAAGAAGGTTGACTCGAACTGCCTGGATCAGTTCGTCAATCCCTCAGCTCTCGTCTCAGAGAATACAGTTCTCAAGGTTCTAGACGAGTCGGACTATTTAAAAGTAAAAAGAAATTCAGTGGCGAAAATTCGGCGGCCACGAATGCGTGACGAAAATGGAAATGGAAGTCCTTATATTCACAGAAAAACAACAAGCTTAGGGGCGCTAGGACAAGCATTGCATGGTAAGTTTTGAAGAAAAACATTTTATTTTATTATTTTGCGATGAAAAAGTTTTAAAAGTTCTTGGCCGAAAAATATCGGTTCAGCGGTCGGAGTAAATAATGATTCACTTAAAGAATTACATCATTTCATTTTAAATTTTATATGAGATCAAACAAATTCAAATTATTTTAACTGGCTATCATTTTTTAAAACTTTAAAAATTGTTTTTCTCGATGAAGACCCGGGTACCGGGCAAGTAGGGCCTGGAGTTTCAACGAAATTTATAAACCACCTGCAGTGATTTATACATATTCATGTCAATGTGCCATTGCGAGTTTCTATCTGAAGACGACATTAATACATGACTTTGTAAATTTCAATATGGATGACATTGCGTATTTAATTGTTCTCTGTTCTTCAGGAATGCCCCGGGATAGTCGAGAAAACGCTGTTCAAATTTGTCCTATTTGTAAATTTCAAGCAACAACCAAAAATCCATACAGACATTTACAGGTGAGAAGGTTTTTCTAATCATTCCGCTCAGATCTACGATTCTTCCCTCCCCAAGGTAATAATGCAGTGAAAGTTATTTCAGAGGTGTACCCATCTTTTGTACTGCAGTGTACTTTCTCTGGGTCTTAATGTAAACACAAGACGGATGTCAGATCCGGACACGGAATCCATCTTACACATAAAAAAAAATAAAAATAAATGAAATATTCTGGTCATAGGAAACTATAATGTTAATTATCAAAATTTAATGCTTTTACCCCCCTCGGATACTAAACGAACACTGATGCATCTATTCTTGTTTACAAATTCCTCACAGAGAGAACTGGTTTCAATATGTACGCAGAGTATACGCTACTGCAATTAACTTTCCTTGCATTATAACCTTGCCCCTCTCCATGTTTACACTACCTTGACTAATGAGTACTGACTAACAGAGGACCTGCAAAGAACAACTGTTTATTTATAGACGAACATTCAGGTTTGTGGGACCACGAATCTTATTGTGAGAAATAATAATGATTTCGATCATTGTTTCAAAATTCGTGTCACTTTAAATTACATTTTTTAAACGATTTCTGATCTTAAGATATCCTAGTTTTTCTCAAATAATGGTGGCAAAATGAATAAATATTATAGTTTTCTATTCAAAACTGACAATCCAATATTACAAAACTTTTTAACTTATTTAAATTATAATTTAGGACCATCTTGCCCGTATTCACTTCAAAGATCGCATAGCAGCGGAGCTACCTACCAAGAAACCATACATCTGCCCCTTCGAGGGATGTGATGGGAAACAGTACCCAGACTGGCAGGTACTGACCAGCTAAGGGTTGGGTGGGGTAGTGATAATTTTATATTTTTAGGGTTAAACTTTAAAGATCTTAAACACGATTAGATGTGAAAAAGAAATACTTTTAACAATTATAATCGAAGTTTTCTAATATTAAAAAGAATAAAAAAATTCAATGTTTTCAAAACATTTACATATAAATATTTATATATTTATTTGTTTAAAGTATTGATTGGAATAACCTTTAACACTTATTTTTAGTGAATATTTAGAATTATTGTATTCTAGGCTGTGATGAGACACTATATTGGAAAGAAGCACGGTATACTGGACAAATATGTGAAAGAAGAACTCATGCAAATCCGCCGAGACAATGGCGGAAGAATCCCCGGCACAGTTATCCGCCCAGGGGTTGAAATCATGCTGTAACAAGATCACTCCTCCGTTCACAATAGTTCTGAATTTGAGAAGACCCAAGTTTACCAGAAAGCCAAAATATCATTTTTTGTCAAATTTTTAAAAGATACATTAAGAGGATCGTGAAAACATTTTCGGTTAAATTTGATGTACAAAAAATGGGGGCTTGTCAAGTCGTCGTGCCGTTTCTCGCATTTTACGTGAAAATTCCAAATATATGGATCAGTTCCTTTTAAGATTCTTAAACTCGTGAATTAATAAATTTTGTAAATATTAAAATTATGCCTCCCCTATGGGGGTGGGATGTACTACTAGATGTCGCACACGTTTTAGGAGGAAATATTTAGGAGCAATCATCCCTAACTGAAAGTATTGGAGTCCGTCTTACGCATTTATTTTACATTTAATTTTTTTAATCCCGTGATTTTAAATCAATATATTTATATGAATTTGAATAACAAAGGTTGTATACAATTTTATAATTACTATTTGCATTCGACAATCAAGCTGAATCCCAGGGATTAAGATAATATTTTGTTAGTTTTTATATTTCTTCTTTCTCGCATTTACAATTTGTTGAAGCCTGTAATTTTTTTCCTTTATCTGACAGAAAAATATTATTCTTAGCTCTAGGTTGTAATAAGTATTTACTGTAGTGTAGTTCTGCATTTATTTTAACCGCATTTATTGCTAGTTATATTTTAGATCTCTCATCAGTTTTAAACTAGAAAAATATTATAAATGTTTCTCTTCATCACTTGTAACGTTTTTATTTTTTTATTATTTTGCTTCAACATTTAGGGGTTTTAAAATCAAATTATCAATTAAATTTTAGTTTTAAAAACACATTTGGGTTTGAAATCATCATTAACAAATGAAAATACAAACCCGATCGTAGACAAACTTAGATTTTAGCTACAATCTTATTTGATTAAAGTAATTAGCGTTCTTATATCTGTCATTATTCTACTGTACCTAACTGGGGTTTAGACTCTTGAATCTAAGAGAATTAAGAGTTATTCTGATGTCACTCTTTGCACAATGTAACCATTATGATTCAAAAGCACAAATTTGTTTAAATTATGCATAAACTGTCATTATTGTGGCATTAAATGTAAATTCGTCAATACTTTCATTTAATTTTTAATCAGCGTGAAGCCTTGAACCTTGATTTAGTTTTCTAGATCTAGGTTTATCCCGGAGAAATCTAATAAAGAATCCGTCCGACCAAATACGATATTAGTTCTGTAATTGGCCAAGTTTTACAACTTCACGGGACAGTTGATAAATCAACTTGAAACTGAGCACGTGTAATTTTTCAAAGAAATTTTAATTTTGTAATTATAAAATAGTCAAATATATATGTTAACATGATTTTGTTTTTAACGCTCCGAGAAAAGAGAATACAAAAATTATAGTTTTGAATGAATACAAGAATAATTGATGCAGAATTTCGATTTAAATTATTTATAATTATTACTTAATATAAAGTTTTCCTTGAGGAAGAGATTGCTAATTAAATTTTTAATGACCGCTCAATGGAGCAAAATCAATTACATTTGTTCAGTAATGTAAGAAACTGTCAATTTTATTGTTTTTCCATAAAGAATCTGATAAAAAATTTAATTGGTCTCTGGCAGAGCAAAGGTTCCCTGGTAATATTTAGACTACTTTTACAATATGCCGATGCAGTTAAAATGATAACCGACACCAAGGTTGTAATGCAAGGAAAGTTAATCGCTGTCGCGTATACTCTGCGTACATATTGAAACCAGTTCTCTCTGGGCGGAATTTGTAAACAAGAATGGGTGCATCAGTTTCGTTTAGTATCCGAGGAAGTTAAAAGTATTTTTTGATAATTTTGATAATTCACATAATAAAGTTTCCTATGACCAGAATATTTCATTGATTTTTTTATGTGAAAAATGGATCCCATGTCTTGTGTTTACATTACCGCCCAGAGACAGTACACTGCAGTACAAAAGATGCGTACACTTCTGAAATAACTTACCTTGCAGTACATCCTTAACCAACACTAAAGAATGTAAAACATTCTAAGCTGTTCAGAAATGTTGTTATAGATGAAATGAACTGCTGTAAGGAACATAATGAATGTATAAATATATTCATAGCGAAGCTTTATCATTTAGATAGATTTTTCATCTTTATTAATGAAATATTTCAGATACACAACACGGCGCAAATTAATTGCAGGTAATATTCTTTATTAAGCTGTTTAAATATATCGAACTTTAATTGTACAAGTTTACAAAATTAAATACTCTTTTCTTTTGGTTTCTCAAAAAATTTGGCATCCCATTAGGGCCGATTCGGGAGATTCTTGCATTAAAGAACAAGTAACATATCCTGTACAACTAGGAGAACTGGTTAACATATCCTGTAGATACAGGAGAACTAGTAATATATCCAGTAGATACAGGAGAACTAGTAATATGGCCTGTAGATACAGGAGAACTAGTAATATATCCTATAGATACAGGAGAACTAGTAATATATCCATTAGATACAGGAGAACTAGTAACATATCCTGTAGATATAGGAGAACTAGTAACATATCCTATAGATACAAGAGAACTAGTAACATATCCTGTAGATACAGGAGAACTAGTAACATATCCTGTAGATACAGGAGAACTAGAAACATATCCTGTAGATATAGGAGGACTAGTAATATATCCATTAGATACAGGAGAACTAGTAACATATCCTGTAGATACAGGAGAACTAGTAACATATCCTGTAGATACAGGAGAACTAGTAATATATCCATTAGATACAGGAGAACTAGTAACATATCCTGTAGATACAAAAGAACTAGAAACATAACCTATAGATACAGGAGAACCAGTAACATATACTGTAGATACAGGAGAACTAGTAATAAATCCATTAGATACAGGAGAACTAGTAACATATCCTGTAGATACAGGAGAACTAGTAATGTATCCATTAGATACAGGAGAACTAGTAACATATCCTGTAGATACAGGAGAACTAGTAACATATTCTGCAGAACTATGAGAACTAGTGACATATCCTATAGATACAGGAGAACTAGTAAAATATCCTGTTGAACTAGTAACATATCCTGTAGAAACAGGAGAACTAGTAACATATCCTGTAGATACAGGAGAACTAGTAACATATCTAACATATCCTGTAGATATAGGAGGACTAGTAATATATCCATTAGATACAGGAGCACTAGTAATGTATCCATTAGATACAGGAGAACTAGTAACATATCCTGTAGATACAGGAGAACTAGTAATATATTCATTAGATACAGGAGAACTAGTAACATGAATTAATGATGAAAATAAATATGGAGGAGAAGTTGAAGAAGAAGAATATGAAGAAATAGTAGAAGGAATTCCTGGATAATTAAACGAAGAAAATGGTAAAGGGCTGAATGAGGAAGTTGATGAAAGAGTGGAGGAACTAGAATGAGGAGAGGCTGAAAAGGTAGACGTAGGAGGGGATGGAGGAGTTGACGGTAGTTTTGAAGAAAAAGCAGTTGAAGTCGTTGAAGGGGGTGACGTGGAAAATGTAGTTGAAGTGCAATGAGTAGTTAATAGCGGACGTGGAAGTATAATAGTTGAAGTCGTTGAAGGGAGTGAAGGAGGACATGTTGTAGTTGAAGTGCAAGGAGTAGTGGATGGAGGAGGGGAAGAAATAGTAGTTGGAAGATTTAGAGAAGAACATGCTGTAGTAGTAGTGCATGGAGTTGTGGATGGAGGAGGGGAAGAAATAGTAGTTGGAAGATTGGAAGAACAACATGTTGGAGTTGAAGTGCATGGAGTAGTGGATGGAGGAGGGGAAGAAATAGTACTTGAAAGAGTGGAAGAACAACATGTTGGAGTTGAAGTGCATGGAGTAGTGGATGGAGGAGGGGAAGAAATAGTACTTGAAAGAGTGAAAGAAGACCAAGTCGTGGTGGTAGTGCAAGGAGTAGTGGATGGAGGAGGGGAAGAAATAGTAGTTGGAAGAGTGGAAGAAGACCAAGTTGTGGTGGTAGTGCAAGGAGTAGTGGATGGAGAAGGGGAAGAAATAGTAGTTGGAAGAGTGGAAGAAGACCAAGTTGTGGTGGTAGGGCAGGGAGTAGTTGATTGAGGAGTTAAAGAAATAGAAGTTAATAGAATACTTGTTAAAGAAGAACAAGTTGTACAAGGAGAAGTGGAAGGAGGAGATGAAAAAATGGAAATTGGAGTAATTGAAGAAGAACCAGTGGAAGTAGAAGTAGGAGGAGTAGTGGAAGGAAAAGGTGCAGGAGATGTGTTTGATGGTGTTGAAGAAGAACATTTAGTAGTAGAAGTGCATGGTGTAGTAGAAGGAAGGGGTGGAGAAAGAGTAGTCGAAGGTATTGAAGAAGACCAAGTGGAAGTAGAGATGCAAGCCGTAGTAGATTGGTAAGGTGAAGGAGATGTAGTTGAGATTGTTGTAGAAGAACAAGTGGTAGTAGAAGTACATGACGTAGTGGATGGTTGAGTAGAATTTGTTGTGATTGTAGAAGTGAACAGAGTGGTTGAAGTACAAGGAGAAGTGGAGAGGGAAAAAGAAACAGTAGTTGATAGAGTAGACGTAGGATAAGACAAAGTAGGAGATGAAGTGACAGATGAGCATGTTGTCGTCATTTGCTCTGATGGGTAATTATTATTTTTGGTTTCTGGGTAATATATTTTTCTGGGTACAGGGACTGAATTCCCGCTGGGTTCTGGTAGTTGGTTCTGGGACGACTTCATATATTTGATGAGAGAAATTGGCTGATATTTGAGTGGATGGGTGGGTGGTAACTTTGTTGCGTTGTTCTTCTGTTCCAGCTCATCTATAATAAATATTTATTTGATTATTCAACATTTTCAGATTGGTCATTCGACCTTTTTATTCTTTTTTACAATTTAATGTGGGTATAGATAATTTCATCAAAAGCAATATTTTATCAGCCCCCCTAATCCCCCCCCCCCCACTTGCTACTTATCAAAGTTATTGTTTTTATATAATTACAGAAGACATAAAGTACATTACTCTTAGTGAGCTAATTAAATTATGGTAATGGATGCTTTTATTGTAATTATAATGTTTTAATTATTATTAATGTTTAAGATATAAGGAATGTTTTAATTGTAAATCTAAAAAAACTTACTATATTGCAATTCAACAATTGGCATGCTTGCATTCTGCAATTCAACAACTGGCATGTCCGGAATTTGCAATTCAACACTTGGCATGCTTGGATCCTTTATTTCAAAGGTTTGCATTTCTGGATCTTCAATATTTGAGATGTTTTCTGTTTTGATCTGATACACAGCTAACAAGTTTAATCCAATTCTTGCGTTTATGTCAAGTGAACTAGATTCATTTGCCATTAACCATAATTACAGTTGCCATAAATGATAACATTTGACATAATTACAAATCCTTACAACTTATATAGTTGTATTTAGGCTTAGGACAGGCCTTCAGGGGACACCGCGTCTTTGACTGTCATAGGGGGCTTGTCAAAAAAATGTATAATTCGTAATATGATAAAGTGTTATATAGCAAATGAAACGGCGCCCTTGTACAGTGCAGTGTGCACTGTGCAGTGCAGAGGGATTTGAATCAGAACAGTCAATGATGAACTTAAACGTTTTTTTAGTTTTTAGTTCGTTATTCAATTTTTAGAAAATCTGGTGCTTGCTTCATAAAAAATATTTGCTCTGATTCTGAACCTTCCTACATTGCTGTCAAAATCTGTAAATCTGTAAAATGTCTTTTTATTACTTGTACAATTTTTATATATACCTTTAGCTAGATACATACATACAGGGTGGCCCAAAAACAGGGATTAGTGTTTTTCAGCCCTTTTAAGCTTTAAAATACTCAAAATGTGCTGTAGCTTTAAAGGGAGTGTTCGCGAAAAATGGAAGGGGGTATAGGCTCAATGCGATAAAAAAGCGCTTTTGATCGCTACTAATTTTACTTCTATCTGTTGCGTCTATAAGTAGAAAATTGTTAAAGACGTCTCATAACGAATAATTTAGCGCCCATACAAATTGAGAAAATTGCAACACACAACTTAGACGGTAAAAAATCAATTTAATTTCAAACAAATCATTCAGATATTATAACCTATAGTCATCGATTATCTTTCGCCACATTTGTATATAGTTTATATTTTAAAATATTTTATTTTTTTAGGAAACGTTTTAAACGGATTTCGAAAAATGTGAGTGGTGCGCGGCATTCTTAGATAGTTGCGCAAGCTACAAGAGAAATAATCAAATTCAAAACAAATTAATTAAAAAATATTATAAAATATAAACTATATACAGAGGATGACAACGTTTTTGGAC